GATGCCCACAGCAGCCCATAATGGAAACACCTTGACCTCTGTGCCAGTATATGGCAACTGTGCAAGCGATACGAAAAATCTTTCTATTAGTAATTTTTAAATATTTTTAATTTCTATTTCATTATACATTGGTGAAAGAACTTCTTGCTCTTGAAACAATTTCAAATCTTCAAAACATATTTAAATAATTTGCATTATCTCACAAAAATAGTTAGTTAAAATCAATCAATTAGAAAGTTTGGAGTTTCCTAATTTCATATCAAACTTACTTAAAATAATCTAAAAATTCAAATAGATTCATTTTATATTTTTTACAAAAAAATATTTAATTAAATTTTATATTAATCTTAAATTAATTTCTTTTTTTATTAATTCTTTTTGTTATTCTTTTTTTATTAATTTTTGTATAAATTAATTTGCTTGAATTTTACTTTACTTATAAAAATTATATTATTATTGTATAAAATTGACAATTATTTGTACTGAAAATATTTCAAGAATAAATAATTAATATCCTAAAAAATATAGTTAGGCATTTAAATAAAATAAAAGATAAAATTTCATAAAAAAAAATTGTATTTTAGAATAATATTAGAATATAAGCCATATTTTTTCATAATACATCATACAAATATCTTATATTATGATAAAATAATGTGCATATAGATTATAAAGTAAAATTTAATGATGCAGAAACTATCTTTTAACATGAATAATAATAACTGAATAGTCTAGATAGGCAAGCAAAATAAAAGAAGAAAGACCACTATAGTGATGTAGATATATATAAAAATTTACATGTATATATGTATATATATATAACTGACGAGTTTGAATTTTTAAAACTTACTGCAATCGTGGAACCATTCTTTCCAATCCCACCAGATTCAAAGACTTTACAGAATTCAAGGAATACATGAATGTAGCCTGCATAAAATAACACTGCTACGTAGTTACTGATTGTGCCTACACCAAGCACTGGTATCTAAACAAATGTATAAAATCTCGCTCGTTATAAATATTGTAGAAATGCAATTAAAATTTATCCTATATTTATTTTATATTTTATATTTTTTAAATTACTCGTAATTTTTCAATATAAAATAATTCCATTAGTGGCTCATTATATATAATACAGAATAGTAGAATAATAAATTAAATTATTGAGCACAAGGGAGCCAGAAAATATAAATAACAAATTCATTTTTTCATTCTCAAGTTTCTACATTCACATAATATAAATGTTTATATTATAATAATATAATTTGTGATTAAGATGAAAAATTGTATTTTGAATCAATGGATTATGATTATGATAATTTTTATGAGTGTAATTTTTATATGAAGATATTTGCTTACTGTTTGAAGCTAATGCAAATTTTTTAATATTAGTTTTATTTCATTTTAAAAGATATTAAGATATTATTAAAATATTATGTTATAATAATAAATATATATATTTACATCACATTATTTAATATTTTTTTGATAGAAATTGTTTCAAAAGCACAATTAAATATTAAATATAAGTTAAATTAAATAGAAATTATTATTTTTTATAAATAGAAATTATATATTTTTTATAAATATAACAAAACAATTCTTAAGATATAATTTTTAATATGATATATATTCTAATAATATTTTTTATTATACTATAAACCATAATTTGAAAAACATTTGAAAATAATGAAATTATATAATTCAAAATAAAACGAAAATCAAAAATAACAAAATTATGATGAAGAAATCGTTTTGTCTCGACTGCAATTTTGTTATTTTTAATTTTTTACTTATTTTGCGCCATAGAATTTCTCTGATTTTTCTCATATTATAAATTTTGGTTTACTGTATATATTTTTTTATGAGAATACAACAAACTGTAAGTACAAATACAAATTATAATATATTTATGATGAATAATGATATGATGCAGAAAAATAAAAAAGAAATGGAATAAATGAAGGGGAATAAGTGAGTAATGAGTAAGAAATTTAGAAATAAAATGCATGTTACAATAAGTCTCATAGCAAAGAAGGTAATTTCAGCACTGCTCCTCATGCCATGCTGGTCCCATTTCCATATTTCTAAAAACAAAAGTCTAATTGACTAACTTACAGCCACAGTTGAACCATTCTTGCCCACTCCTCCGGTGAAAATCACCGAAAAGATGGAATATAAGTTTGCCACTGCACAAATTACTGTCATAACTCCTATTAAATACTTAAACATAAAACCATCTATGTATGGTATCTGTAAGAAATAATCTCGTTAGACTCATGCAGAAATACTTTCAAATTTTTTATAAACATGAGTCTTGAGATAAAAAATAATGAATTTATCAAAAATTTAATTTTTATTCATATAACCAATAGTTAAATTAAAGAGTAATTAGCTAACATTTTAATTACAATTTATTCCTATATTATTTATCTTTAATTTATAAATTGATGGAATAGATGAAACATAAACAAATAATATAACATACATACAAAATTATGAAATAGATAACAAAAATTGGATAACATATGATGAAGGTTCAAATGGAAAATCATGATATAAATAAATATAAAAAATTAAATTTATGTTCTTAATACCTTACAAAAATTCATAATATTTTATAATTCTGAATATTTACAAACTCTATTACTAAATTTTAAAAGTAAATTAATATTATTAATATTAAAAGTAAATTAATATTATTAGATTTAATATTAAAATTTAATATTAAAAAAAAACCATATTTTTTTAAAAAAACTGAAAATAAAAATAAAAATAAAACAAAACAAATATTTTATGATAATTAATTACTTAATTAAGATTTGCAAAATTGTATGTTTCAATATTATTAATTTCATTAATAAATTATTATTAATTTCAATAATAAATAAATTAGCCAAACATTCTTCAAGTACAATATATTATTAAAGTTATATATATATTTGATATATCTTATTGATTAACATAAAATAATTTAAAATAAAATTAAGAATATTATTAAAATAGATACAACCTCCATCATCCATATTTTGGGTCCAAAAATTGCAGAAATGAGATGAATTATTATAATAGTAAATTGTGCTTCTGTAACATCTATTTTGCCAAATCTTAAAGAACCTAGTTAGAAATAATTAATTATAATATAAATAACAATTTTGAAAATTATTAATATCTATGAATAAAAAAAAATTTTTTACCTGAAACATACGTTTGCCAATGAGCACAATAAAAAAGTGTCATAGCACAAAAGCATTGAAAAAACATCCATGTTGGATAATATCCTAATTGCACTGCTATACATGCTGATAAAGCAATAAAAACTAAAAAAAATAAAAATATTATTTTTTTATTTATAATATAATAAATTTAAGATTAGATAGAAGAAATTTAAAATTAAGATAGTATAATGTAAATTATAAAATATATTTTATGTTTAAATATTATTTAATAAAAAAAATGTACAACATATATATCTTTTATTATATTTTTAATATGGATTTTCAACAAAAATTAAAATTTCAAAAAGTTATTAATTTAACATACCAGTTGATATGGAATCACATCCATGATCAAATAGTTCACCTAATGGTGTTGAAGTTCCTGTTCTTCTGGCTTGTTTGCCATCTATGGCATCCAAACTTTGATAAATGAACAAACCAAGTGCACATAAAAAACATGCCCATCTAGGTGCCTAAGATAATATTAATTTTATTTTGTTAATAAATTATTTTTTTAGATAATATGTTATAAAATATATATATATTAATTTTAAAATAAATATTATGTATACATATATATATATGAATATTTAATAAATAATAATTAATAATAATAAATATTATACAATTAATATACATTAGTTTATATTTAATATAAAATTTTAGTAAAAATATAAAAATATCTATATTTAAAGAATATAATCATTTGTATTTTATCATATATATATATATATACATATATATATATATTATAACTATAAAAATTTATGGAATTAATAGAATTGCAATAATATATACAATTCAAATATATATATATACATATATATATATATTATATATAAAATTTGCTTTTAATTAATAATATTATATTTTACTACGGTAATTATATATATTTATTTTTTATTTATCTATTCTACTCTCTTTCTTACTTTTAATGAATAAATAATAATGAATAAATATATATTGGCTTTTTAAGTTCACAAAAACTTCTTATATTTTCACACGGAAAAAGATTCAATAGAATAATAGGTTATGTAAACGATACCTCAGTTTTAGCATCAGGGCTATAATACACTAGAACCAAAGTAGTTGCAATGTTGACGATTAGACCTACGATAGTGATTAAATTGGGTGCAAGCCAAAGTGGTACTTTGCTAACAAGCCAGTCCCACCAGGGTTGAAGAAATCCATCCAAAAGACTGCTTGTTGTACAGCTATATTTGTGTTCACTAAGACGTTTCAATTGCCCAGGCGATAGAAGTTTTTCCTTATAAAACTGCATAATTCGACGTAGCCGAATTACTAAAAATACTAAGAATGATTATAATAATTCAACAATCATTGATTCTACACAATACAATGGCTAAACATAACAAGTAACTATTCGCGAACATATACGACATCTCTTTACATACTGATTTAAACCGGAACTACAAGCGAAGTCTACAAAATACTACGATTCTTCCGTATATACAAATTGTTTTTAGATCATATATTGATTATTACATTAATAATATATATTACATTAAAAAATAATATCATTAGAAAAAAATCATAAATAAAAATATTTATATAATATTAAATAACGATAATTTTTTAATATATTTTATTTTCGAATATGAATATATTGAAACTCATTATTTAAAAATTTCGCGCGAACCTTTGCAATTCCTTCATATTTTCTTATTAAAAAAAAATCATTTTTATTTTTTTTTAATATATTATTTTCTCGTGTCATAAAATATATCTATAATTATAAATATCGATCTTCTAAATTTTTCACGTTCTTAAGTTATCAAACAAAACAAATATGTAAATAGTAATAAATCATGGCGACACTCACTACTTTTACAAGATTATTTAATTTTGGTACAAATACTTGTATCAAAAAAATTCTTCCGACTTTAACATATAAAAAATACTATCCAGGTTTATTAATATTTTACATAAAAATAAGATTTATTTATTTATTTACATCAAATTTTAAGTTATAACCTCACTTTTATTTCATAAAATTTAAAAAAAATTGTTAATAGTTAATAGTTAATTATTTTTAAATAAATTGTATCATAAATAATTCTTTAACTATTTTTTCTTTTAATTATTTGTTTATGGATTTTTATTGTAAAATATGATTACTTTTAATTTATTTTATTACTGTAAAACTTATTTATTATTATTATAATTATTAATAATTAATGTCAAATTATTATATTAATATAATATAAAAATTAAATATTTTTAAAAATAAATAAAAATAAATAAATATAAAATACATGAATAAAAAATTATTTATTATAGTATCAAAATTATGGGAAATAAGAGTAGATGGATATCGTACTCGATATAAGTTACCTTGGTTTAATTCATCATCAAATTATCAAGAAGAAATACCTGAATATGATGAAAAAAAAGAAAAAATAGCAATTGGTAATTATATGTAAAATAAATATATATTATGATAATATTTTTCATTAATTATTATTTATTCTTATATTATCCATGTAATTTTAATATTTTCTTTCTATTTTTAGATGTAATTAATGAAATTAACAAACAAATAGCTACTAAATCGACTGGTCGCTTATTTGCAGTCATATATGTACTAGGAAAACAATTTAAAGTCACAGAAAGTGATATTATAGTCATTGAAGGTAATTGGCCACCTCAACCAGGAGATGAAATAAAATTGGAAAAAGTATTATTAGTTGGCAGTAAAGATTTTACTCTTATTGGAAGACCTATTCTAAATAGAGAATTGATATCAGTCGATGCAATTGTAATACAAAAAACTTTGTCTCATACAATAACAAATTTCAAAATGAAAAAAAGGAAACAATATAAAAGATTAAATTGTAAGATTATATTATATATTATATATTATATATTATATATTATATATTATATATATTATATATTATTTTATAATATAACAAAAATATTTTACAATTATTTCATCTAATATATTTATCTATTTTACAGTTTATAGAATACATAGAACAATGCTAAGAATAACTTCTATAAATATAAATGGAGATATTGATAAAAAGAAAGAAGTTGAAGGTTTAGATAGAATATATTAATTAATAAATAATATAATATATCCCATAATATAATGTAAAATGTCACATCCAAATATATTTTTTAATCATTAGTAATAAAAATTTATTATTGTAAATTTAAGTATATTTAAATTAATATAAAATATAATGGAAGTAAAAAGAGTATAGATAATATGATATATAAAAAACATATTAAACAAAATGCTATTAAATACATTGTATTAAAACAATAAAATTTTAAAATAAAAAAGAATAAAATCCCAAGAAGAAATAAAGCATCAGAAAAGATATAAAAAGTGTTTGAATGTATAATTTCATGATGTTTCGCGCATGCGTAGTATTATTAAAAGAAAAGTGGGGATTATAAGTGAGCGAATAAGCGTTAGGGAAAAACAGTATGTTAAAATGAGTCGAATAGAAAGGGTCGTTTGTGAATAGAAGAAAGAAATAATAATACAAAACACAAATAAGAGAGATAGAATATTCGAATGACGTCATAAGCTGCAGTTTCAAGAAGGTTTAAACGAGAATACCAGTCTATTCTTTACACTTGCAATTCGCGATAAAAACTAATGATAGTTTATATTCATATCTCAATCTCATGATAATTTGTTTATAAATTGCTACATAGAATGAATCAATGTTTTTCTCTTCATAATATGCGAGAATGATATTAAGTAATCCATAATAATATAAAAAGAATCTCTCCCTCATCCGTGTATTAGCGTCCAACGAATGTAAACGATTTCCATCGAGCTAAGAATTTGTGTTTTCTATTAAGCTATCAAAATAACCTAAGAGTATTGTGTATTATATATAATTGAAGAAGATGGTGCTTTCAGAATGTTATGGATTTGTTAAATATTCATTAGTCTGCATAAATCTTATATTTTGGGTAAGTGTTCATAATTATATTTCAGAAATTGTAATAATAATAATAGCAAAACAATTATTTATGATTTATTGATATATTTTTTCTTTATACTATATATTAATAAATTCAACACAACAAACAAACAAAATCATTCAATATATGAAATTTTTATATTTAATTTGATTTTTAAAATTTAATTAGCTTCATAAAAAAAATAAGATCAATAAATAAATATTACAATTACAATACTAATACTTAGTAATGTTATATTTATAATGATTTGATCAAAATTATTACATATCGTTTAATAATAAAGAATAACTCAAGATAATATAATTTATGAACATATTGACCGTTAAATATAGATATACAATATAATAATGTGACTATTACTTGATTCATTAAAAAATTTTTATATGTTTATTTTTATAATTTTTTTTTTTAATAAAAAGAGAAAAATTTGAATAAAACTTAAAATTTAATATGATAATATATAAATAATATAATAATACATTAAATATTATATATAAATATTATAAAAAATTATGGATAATTTAATTTAATTTCTCATTTAATTAGTAATATTTAATTGACGGTATAATATTTAATATAAAACAAAATAAAAATTTCATTCTATTTATTGCAAAAATGAAAATAAAAATGCAAGAAAAAAAGATAAAGAACTAAATAATTTCTATGCCGATGATTCTATTCAATTCACTCTTTATAGCTGTTAATCCGGTGACCTGCAATTTATCTCAAATCGCGAACTTCGAAAACTTATTTCAAAGATAATAAGAGCAAAATGACTGAGTTTGTACATAATCGATTGAATTAAAATAATATTATCTAAAAATTATGTTATTCTAATAAGGCAATTCATTTACGCAATTTTCTTTATAAAAAAAAATTATTAAAATTATCAATTTATACAAATTACATAAAATTACATTAAATATTTTTTTTATTTTATATAATATAACAATTTTATTGTAAATTTACTTTTAACAAGACAAAATTTTTTTTATGTATTTTTTTATATATTTTTGTATATATAAGATATCTTGAGATAAGATCTTTTACATATTTACAAAGAATCGGATGTTTTTTTATATAATAAATAATTTTATAAATTTTATAAATTTATAAATTTTTTTATATATTCATAAAAATAAGATAAGATATCTTTTGCATATAATATTTAAATATCGATAAAAAAATCTAAAATATGAATTGCAATAAATTTTTTTATTTTAAAATAGGATAATAGAATAATAAATTTTAAGAATTTTTTCTTAGTTTGTTACTTTACTATTTTACTAATCTAATAATAATATAATTCTCACAATATTGCATCAACTAAACGCATAGGATTACAACTAAATACATAGGATTCTTTTTAAGATTCTTTTCCTCACAAAAATATAATTTTTAGAATTCATATTCTAGAAAGATAAATTGTTTAAAGTTTGTAATGGTTTATAGTCACTTTCTTTTTTTTTTATACAATATATTAATCGAAAATTAATTAGCATATTAGAAAATCTCAATAATAATAAATTTTAATAATTAATGATTATTTTTTCATTAAATCTATAACATTTCGAATGATGATCAATAGCTGTAAAATGTTTTTTTGTAATTAAAGTAATAAATTTTTAAACTATCAAAATTTTTTTAATAAATAACTTTTTAATAAAAAACTGTAGTTTTCCTGCGTAGAATATAAGCTAATTTAAGAAAACAGCTAAATTGATTTCATCTGTATATCACATTGATTATTTTTTGTTCTAAATTTTATTGATTCATAATCAATGACGATTTTGGTTTTATTTAACGAAAAGTCAATTAAATTGTAAAGTGATTATATAAAGTCAATAAAAATATTTACTTATTGATATCATTTCAATTGCCATAAATATTAAAAATTTGATCTTATCAAAGAAGAAAATCTGCTAACGCATATGAATCATGTTTAATTTATAACATTCTATTCACATTAAAATTTTAGAAATGCCTTATGAAAATTAGGAATGAGAAAAAATAATTCAGATTTGTTTAAGTTATTAAATTGCAATATTGTCATGAATATCGATTGAAATCAGCTAAACTATCATATATCAAACATTTGTCAGATATTAACAATAGTGCTTATGTCAGCATCGAGACAAACATCGCATCTAGTTTGAAAATGTTCAACGAAAAATAGGTGCGTTTAAATATAGATTTCCAGTCAGAGAACGAATATGTTCTTCCTACGAGTTTGCATCCTACACTACAGCCCAGTTTATTCTCATCCCTTGTGATTATATATTATATCAATATCACACACTCTTTTTTATTCATGATGAGTTGCATTTCGCATCTTGAAATCGATTGAAAATCAAATGTGACAGAAAAATTATTTCACAAAAATAATATATGCATTTTTAAACAAATATATATAAATATTATTTAAATCATGACGGTTATTTAAAATATTATATCTCATTCAACCAACAATGTTGAACTTGGCATACTTGGCATCGAATAAAGGTACCAAATACTTTTGAAAAAAAGATATGATATTTGTAACTATACTATTTATTTTTACATATGTTTCAACTCTGAATTTTTGAAAACTCAGTTTAATAAATTTAAAAAATAATATTTAATTAATTTACTATTATTTTCAATTGATTTTTTATATTAAATATTTGCAAAAAAAATTAATAGATGTTTTATATAAAAAAATCGATGATAAAAATTCGATTATTTATTTTTGTCGTTAAGAAATGAAATCAGAGCCGAAAGGAAATTTGACATCAATTTAACGTGTGTATTTAGATCATCTCGTGATACTAAATCTGTATAATATAATGAGAAATGTTTATACAAGTTTGAAATGTTTAACAAATTTAATTTTCTATAGACTCGTTAATTTTCTGTCTAGTTTTCTCTATAAGTTTAGATATTATTTTATTGATAATAAAAATGTGTCTTTTGCAAATTGATTAATTTATTATATAATTTGTTATATAATTTTATCTTTTAATTCGATATTATTAAATATATCAAAAAGAAAAAAATATAAAATATTAAAATACGAATTAAATAGGAATGTAGATGTTAATAGAATTAAATAATTATTTGTGCAATATAGAAATTTATTATATATATTTTATATTTTTTAAAATTTTATAAATTATTAATTTTATTAATTTTATAAATTTATATAAATATTTTTTTAAATATATATATTATTCAATTATGTTATGATAATCAAATATAATTATTTTTAAATATATAATGTAAATTCGTTTGAAAAAGAAATATCAAATCATTTTAAATAATTTTAGTTATGTTTAATTCATCGACCCGAATATGAATTTATAATATAATATCTACTATATATTTTTATTCTTCTAATATTTACTATATATATTATTGTTCTTTTTTTTTATAAAATATTGCAAATTATAAATAACTGCAAATTATTTTAATCACATATAAACAAATATATTTCGAAATACAATGATTGGCATATGTTTTAAAATATGAAAATCGCAAAAAATTTACAAAAATATTTTTAATAGATTCAATTTTTCATTAATAAAGTCAATATTTAAAAAAAAAATACAATATATAGCACCGAATAATAAAATTCATAAATGAAATAAATAAAAAAAAATGTATTCGTTTCATAAAAAAGCAATTTTAAAAAAAATTAGACATTGAACATAAATATTTTTAATACATTTCGTTTTGATAAATTACATTTTCACTTTATTATACTTAATAATATATTTAAAAATATTTTTCTTTGTTTAAGTAAAAGTTTTACCTATGATATTTATGAATGTACATGATGTAATATTAAATATTCGATTGCAACAACTTAATTGCATCTTGAAAATTGATTTAGAACCTTTTTTTCAATATATATACATTGAATATGACCCATGGACTTGATTTCATGGTTTCTAATAGTATCGGCAAAAAATCGATTTGTCTAAAGCAATCCTTTTTCCAGTTCTTGCATCTGTTTCTTATATCACATTCACAACTCGAGACACATCGAAAATACAGGAAGTCCTCTGTTTAAACGGTACGCCTTCAGCGTGATTACACATTGAATGGAAATCACGAGTGTTTAGCTGCTTTAACTTACTGAATCTTCAATCTTGATGTCTATTCTTTTTCATATACATTAT